GGTGCATGCCTATGACATTGCGTTGTTTGTAACATTTTTTTACTTCATTTAACAAGCTTTATGAGTTTTAACATTTTTGATATATGGTGTGTGGTTATTGTTTAACATTTTCTTGTTCACGCATTGGTCTATGCCAGTTGTGTTTGTTTTTTTTTTTTTTTTTAAATTATGTTTACTGTGTGTGCTGGTTGATTAAATGGTCGTTGCGTTGCTGATGTGTTTTGTATTTTCTTTTTTAAAAAAAATTATTTTCTCAAATGTTAACAGTTTTTCATTTTTATTTTTATTTTTATATAATGTTGGGTATAATTAATGAATTTAGAAATAAACACACTCAATTCCAGTTATGTGATACCATAGTCTGTTTGCGCTTATTCATATTCCCGTACATATGTTACTTTGTGTGTGCGAATTCGAGCGTCAACTATCTTGTGGTCTTTCGGTGGTCGTGTATTATTTTACTACCATTGTTTTATATGATTTACGGTTACACCCTTATTATTGTGTGCATTTCTTTTCGGTGTTCGTTCTGATTTTATGATTGTTCATGGTATGGTTTTGGTCTTCAATGCTTTTTCACTAGTCGTTTTAGTTTTAAATGCGCTAATATGGTATTAGTTTATTATTTTTCTTCACAATTTTTTAAAATTTTGAATCCGTTGAAATTGTCCAGGCGCCAGGGGAATTGTTTGTTTTGAAGATGTGCTCATTAGACGCTGCGTTGGATGACGTTGTGCAATTTGTTGGCGTTCACCCTCAATGCTCCACCCGCACTGATAGTGTTTTGCGTGTATTAACCGGTGCACGGAAGATTATTTCTTTGTTTGAGACTCATGCATCTACAGTGCCAGTTGCCGTTGCAAATCCGGCCGCTATCACGCCGACAAGTGGAGATGAGATTTGGAGTAACCCGGAAAGCTTTCAGGTAGTGGATGATGCGGTTAGGGCGGTACAAGATGGTAGCCATCACTCAGTACCCCCACATACGGGACCATGCGTTGTTGATGAGCAGGTTGGGCCTATTATTGATGGTGCCGGGGGTGTGCCGCCAAAGCATGATCGGGTGTCTCTGCATGCGTCATCGGGGGGTCCCGTGGCCGAAACCCAAGTTGCTGTAAGTATGATTGTGTACAAGCGCAGGAAAGTTAAGCAGGTGTAGGTTGTAGGTTGATGGTATACTCTTTGTTTTTTTGCCTACATCTGTCGGTGGGTTTTTTTATTTTATTTTTTTATGTTGATTTGTATGTTAGTTGTGCTCGCATGGTACTGTACTTTCTGTGTGGTGCAGGTGTGTTGTATATCGGTTGTCCCTACTTTACTAAGTGCGGGGTGGGCATTTATTTTGGGTCTGTCACACATACATTCTTCTTGCTATGCAACCACAGCTCATTTTATTGTTCTCTATGCGTTTATTAGGGATGTGATGACGGTTCGTCGTTCAGTTATGGGTTGTCCCAAGATCTCCCTACCCAATGTTGGGAGGAGGTGGATGCGATTGTGCGCGAATATGTGGGTGATACTTCAAACGCTCCAACCGGGGGTAGTAGGTCTGCACCTTGTATACCTGTAAGTATTACTGTGGATGCCGTTTTGTTATCTGTATACCTACTTTCGGCCCACAATTATTCCGTCACTCTCAATCCTCTAAGACCCTGAACGATGTTCATAATAGGTGCGCGCGTTAGAACACCACATCTCGGTTAAGCCAAAAGCACAGTCTGTTGGGGGTGTCGGGGCGGATGGGATCGTGACTGCACGTGGGCGTGGTGTACGTAGTCCAACATCTCAGAATGTTTTTTCGACTCCTCCTGAGGTATTGTTGTCGCCCTCGTTTCGTCTTCCCCACCCTTTTTATAATTTTTTTTCTACATACTTATCCATCTCTGGGTTGTTCACATGACGTAGCAAAACGCTACACTAGGTCCGTGCAAGGGCGTGGGATCCGGTCCGCCAGTGCGTACTGCACCAGTCAAGGCTTCACGACGTGTAGCGCACGATGTTGGTTCTTTGCGCACAATCGATTTCAATTCGTATGCGCCCCTCACGCGGACTCGCGCTGCCAATATGCATGGTGCAAATAATGTTGATCCTCAAGCGGTCTATGATTGGGTTGTTCGTACTGCTAATGTTGACTTGTAAGTATTTTTGCTTTCTTACATTTCGTTGTTCGTGGATTTCGACGTATTATGTTTTTTTAATTTATTGATTATAATGTTTCAGGACGGCATAATTATTTAACTACTGTGGCCGTTCTGCTCGTCGGTGCGAATTTCTGTCATTGTTGGGGGGGAACGAAGTGCTTGTGGGTGTGCTAAGTGCGTGGTCCTGCATTTTAAATGCCCGTGAGAGTTCCAAACCAGTTGGTGCACCCAAGCAGTTATTTGCATCCCCAACCACAACGGTTAGTCAATCCTCGTTTGGATGGTCGCATCTTTTCCCCGTACAGGCCGCTTAATTTCGATACTAATGATTTTTTGTATTGCAGTTGGGCTCGGTAGTTGAAATCACAACCACATGGTCTAACCAGTTGCGCTTGTTTTCTGCTGCGTTAGAGGCCGATTTGAAGGTGTCACCATATGAGTTATGGTCGGATATTGACATGGTTAGTGTACGCTCTAATACATTCATGTTTTTGCATTACAGTTTTATGTATATGTGCCATTCACCTTTGTGATTAGTGCTTTCTTCTTTTAAATTTGGATTACAGATTTATTTATATGTACACGTTTTTTCGCAGTTGATCTTTCCGATAATAGATAAGGCGCATTATTACGTCGTTGCTGTTGACGTTCGGCGCAACAAGTTTGATTTCATCGATAACTCATCTGCGGATGGGGTATCTCTTGCCAAGTACGGGGATACCCCGTCTGTGTTGGTATTAAATTATCCTTATGTTGGTGTTTTACTTTTAAACAGATGTCGTTTCGTTATATTCTAGTCATCACGGTATTCGTTTGCCGCGTTGACCATTTGTTTACTTTTTGCAGAGAGATGTCCTATTGGTCTTCTTTGACGATGCTGGGTATCCGGAACTTTATGTCAAGGTGTTGCAACTAATACCAAGGAGACTCCGAATGTCATGGCATGATACAAAAAATAAGGTGGATTGTGGGGTTTTTGCTATGCGTCATATGGAGACGTACATTGGTCAGTCTATTGCTTCGTGGGATTGCGGTCTAACCCGGGGTGACGCGCGGGCTTTGCTCGCTCTCCGCGTGCGGTATATCTATGAAATTCTTCTGTTTCACAAAAATACGCGTCGCCAAATCATTGTCAACAGTGTTGCTTGTGCTCAGTGACTGAAAGGTGGTGAATGGAGAACTTACATCTGGTAGTTGTTTACCGCATCTACATTTTTTGCATACTTTAAAGTTTTTGGATTTCTTACATAAATGGATATTTTGCTTAATTCGCAAACATTACTCATCCGTTTTTCAATATTTCGATATCTAATTTGGGTAGTTCTGTATTCCGTTGCTTATGCTGTTCGTGCAGTGTAATATTTATTACTGCTACTGTTTACAATATTATTATATCTACTGCTTTATATTAACAAACACACCCAATTGCCGTTAAACATATTCCCTACCCCCATCTCTCTCAGGTCTGCACGCTTCAGTTTTCGAAGTTGCACAGAACATACCATTGCAACATTGAATCTATGTACGTGTTTATGGTTTATGCTATCGTTTGCTACAACTATAACATTATCTCGCACACGCTGGCCAACTTACACTTATAAATTTAATAACAAAAACGCATACACGTTATCGCACGCACTCGGACATTCACTTGCCCACGCACGGGCCATCGCACACTTAGCCATTTACTTCGACTCTCACTATACCATCCATGCATCTTTTTCATCATTTCTAAAGCTTCATTTGTATAGGTAAACGTTTGCAAACAGTAAATATAGTTCATTTTCAAAATTGCATTTTCGAAAGACTGTGCCTACATTTTATATGATTAGTTGTGCTCCAAGTATTACACGGACTTTTGCACGTGCTACCAATATAATTTGCATCGTAGCTCTCTGACTAATTTTTGTTTCTGTCGTTCTCCATTTACAATTTATCACCTAAGCATTTTCGTAATCTACTCAAACGTTCTGCCGTCTTGTTTTATCGAATTCACTTAGTTTATAAATTTTTTTACAATATATACGGCTACTTAAGCAATGCTACTGCATGTCCGTGTCGGTTTTCTTGCTACAGCTGTAAATTTTTCTCTCGCTCGGTTCGGCTCAATCACAATATTTATAAACTTTCAGGTCATATTGTCCTTATTCCTTCAAGCTGTGTAGAGTCGTTATTATTCGATTTCTCAGACTTTATTCTTTTCATTTTTAACTACACTTAACTCAAATACTGTTTGTATCGTGGGTGTTTTACCTCATTAGTCCATGCCAGTAACGCCGCACAATGTATCACAATATCATGCACCAACCGTATATAATTAATTTAACGTAGCGCATACTGCACACGCTCACCGGGATTTTTGCACATACGCTACCCACACCATTTATTCAACTTAAAATCTTAAAAAAACACTTATTCTGCAAAAGTTTTTTGTTTTGTGTTTTACTTATTAACGGAATAATAGATCATCTACTTTCGCGGGCAGCTTCTGCTATTATGGCCATCAGCCAGTCCACATGTTTTGAATGTGCATTTTTTCTTATAATGCTCCGTCATTGCTATCTCCCTTGTAGATTTCATTCGTTTGCCAGACCCTTTGGTTTTTGCGACGGGTGGAGGATGCACTTCTATCGTCTTTGGGGTTACGACGCCGCAATACGACTCCATTATTGCACGCTTCCCACTTACATTCAAATCGGCTCCTTCGTGCTCCCCGAATGTTGCTTCAAACTCTTCCATCCACATTTTTATCTCCTTCATTTTTTCCGGTCTTCCTTTAGCCTTGCCCAAACATCTATGAAATATATTCATTATTTGTCCTTCCTCATTGTTGCATTGGCCAAAAGTGTTACAACCATTCTATTTATCTCCGTCTGTATCAGTGGTGGAGTGCTTCACGGCGTCTCGCGTCCATCGCGGTGTAATATGTTGTGGGGGGATGTCATCGATACGTTCATCTTTCAGTACGACAAAAACATGGCTACAAAGGAGACCTACTCTTGCGTACATTCTGCATGTGCATGCTATGTTGCTTCCATCTTGCATTGTGACTGTGTATCGTTGCTCATTTTCATCCTCAACCATATATGTCTTCAACCCGTCTGCCTCTGTGTATGATCGAACTCGACATTTAAAACATCCTGCACTTATTTCCTTTTGGACCTCATAAAAAATAGTCAAAGTGTACACTCTGGCGGCTGCTCGCTCTATTCGTAGTTTTGTCTCAAATACTAGGGTCTGTCCGATGGTACTTGCTGTCAATTCTAGGTTGTTCTTTCGTTGTTTTCTTACCGCACGCTCGAAACGGGTGAAAAACTCTACCAGGCATAGGTGCTTATTCATGTTACCCTGGAAAATCCTATTCTCCGCCTCTGAACGGGAAGTGGTATGTAGCAGCCCTCCCATGAACATATCATCGCAAAATGCAGGCACCCATGACGCACGCTCCTCGTACATACGCGTTAGCCATCGATTTTCATGTAGGTTGTATTTCCCGATTACGGATTTCCACCCGATCTCGAATTCTGTTCTCGTTGCTTTCTCGTTCCACACAACACTATTCAATGCCCTCCGGAACTCATTATTCTTTGACATCTCAGCACCCACTTTCTCGCCAACCTTAGTCATAATGTGCCACATACAGTAACGGTGACGACTACCGCGAAACACATCTGCAATTGCAATCTTCATAGCTGGGTCTTGATCGGTTATTACTATAGGTGGAGCAGTCCCCATTGCATTCTTGAAGTGGTTTAATACCCAACTGTACGACTCCACATCCTCCTTATCAATCAGGGCCGCTGCGAACGTCACACATCGTTTGTGGTTGTCTACTCCTGTGAATGGAACAAACACAAGGTGGTACCTGCATTCATTACATACCAATTAATCGGGTGTCTCAAATGTGGCAAAACAAATCAATCCCACACATCGCAAACACATGCACAGACATACTACAATCACGCACAAACTTAAAACCCACGCAAAAACATCCCTTCACCTACGTTATACGTTGTTTCACATATATTCATGCATTGTGCGAGTAAAACACTCTCTCACACACACGCACTGCCATACTTAAAACTCTTATCATATTATTATGTTCCAGTATACGAATTAACATCTACACACCCATCTATTTACATTAACTCTCTCATACCTATTTGTTTTGTATGTTGCATCAAAGGATACCACGTCACCAAACGCACCATAGTTTTTCCTTGCCATACCATCCGCCCAGAATACACGAGACAATTGATCATTTGCATTCACTTCGTACTCGAAGTACATGTCACCACAATCTGTTTTCTGCTCAAGATAATTTGATATAACCAATTGCACATCTCCCCACTTCATGTACGCTAATAGATCTCTTCTGTAATTCTTGAAGTCCTATTGCGTCGCACCCACATTCTCCGGCCCCCCTACGATCTCGGCATATATGTCGAAACTTTTGCTTGCACCAACGTTTGCTTTTTCGCACTTGGTAATGAATTCTTGGTGTGCAATCTCAATGTTGCGATTCACTTTCATAAGTGGTTTCTGACTATCCTCGCACAGGCAATGTGTGTGTCTTTCTTCAAATTTGTGTACCTTATACCTCCCGTCGGGGACTATCTTCATTACAATCCTTGCCCCGCAACCAACTCTATTAGTGGTCCGCCTTCTCTTCTTCTCTGACCCCCCTCCTTCACCCAATGTTTCTTTGCCCCTATCCTCCTTAAAACCTTGCCTCGAACACACAACATCCTTTTTCAAAACAATACCAAAATCGTTCTTTTTATCCGAACTTCGACGCACATCAAATCCGGTTGTTGCGGCATACATTGTATAAAATTTTATTCCATCTTCTAGTGTGTTAAACAATTGACCTTCATATGGTTTCAGACTACGGTCACATTCTGTATACCAATATTTCGTACCTCCTGGGCTAATATCCATTCTACAATCCCTTTCTGGTTCGTTTGCATTCACCTCGTCTGGACTCCACAAACCTGTACCATACATTTCGTCAACATGTACATAATAGCCCACGCATAATATTTTAATCAACAAAATACTTATTATAAGCGTATGTAGTTATACTTTAATTGCACATGCTCATTTTATATTGTTAGGAATATAGCGGAATAATGCGGAAGCAAAGAATCGAAAATTGAGAATTATAGAAGTATAATAATAGGAAAAATATATAAACGAAGAAAATTATATAAATGACAAAATAAGAAGTTGCTAAATTGGGGTAAGATATAATAAATATATATATTAATCTCAAAAGAGAATTACAAATATATATATATATATATAAGCTACGTGAAGAAAGAAAGGAAGGAGAATGAATTCAAAAGATTTGATACATTTTACAAAGCATAAAGCTACCCTATTTATACTAAGCAATTTAGAGATAAAAACGCAAAGATGGAGAACATGCATACATAGTGCGACAGTTGCGGCAGTACGTGCAAGAAGCAACGTGGATGATGGCTGCATGGATTCTGAGCCATAGAAATTATTTCTAACAATCTCCACCTTGGATCAAATCCATCTGTGAAAATTAACAACTGGAACAGTCGACTAAACTCAAGCACTACTTGAACTTAACAACAGGAAGAACTTCATAATAGCAGGATGGATCACCATCAACTTCCTATGTGACTGAAAGAGCATAAGCAACCATATTGGTTTCATCGTCACTAGCGTACCTAGCAGGTTTTTTAATTGTCCTCCTAGGACGATCCATAGCAATGGAATACTCTCGTTGTGGCTCGACGAGAGCGGTGCTAGTAGATGCATCATCTTTAGTATTACCATCAGCAGTAGTAACACTATCAATAGGCCTGAACTCAAACTCCACCTTCTCACCAGTACTTTGCGTCTCACCTGTACTGGGAACTTTTCCAGAAGAAAGTAGTGCATTTTCATCAAAAGTGATATCTCGACTCAGAATGATTTTCCGAGAATCAGGAGACCATAGACGATACCCTTTTGACTCAGAAGCATAACCAAGGAAAATGCATTTGACAGCTCTCGGGTTTAATTTACCCGTACTGGAATGAGCATAAGCAGGACATCCAAAAACTCTTAAGATAGAGTAATCAACAGGATTACCTGACCAAACTTCCTCTGGAATTTTGAAATCAAGGGATGAATGTGGAGATCTATTTACCAAATAGCAAGCAGTAGAAACGGCCTCGGCCCAAAAATCACGTCGTTTCCATAACCCAGCATTAGAGAGCATACAACGCGCTCTTTCCAATAGAGTCCTGTTCAAACGTTCGGCAACACCATTCTGCTGGGGTTTACCAGGCAAGGTCTTGTGCCTGGCGATTCCATTTGCCGCACAAAAGTCATTGAAATCTGACTCACAGAACTCCAAGCCATTGTCTGTCCTGAGCTTCTTGACTTTTTTACCTGTCTGAGTCTCAACAAGTATTTTCCACTTCTTGAAAATAGAAAATGCCTGATTTTTGTGTTTCAGGAAATAGACCCAGACTTTGCGAGAAAAGTCATCAATAATAGACATAAAATATCTACAGCCTCCCAGGGACTGGAATTTAGTTGGTCCCCATAAATCAGAATGTATATATTCCAAAACATCTTTGGTACGGTGTGTAGCAGTAGAGAAACTAACCCTCTTTTGTTTCCCAAAAACACAATGCTCACAAAATTGTAATTTACTCGTACCTGAATCACCAAGGAGGCCTTTCTTGCTCAGGAGATGCATGCCTTTCTCACTCATATGCCCCAGACGCATATGCCATAACTGAGTGAGATTCGCATCAGACACCGATGAGGATACCGCTACTGAACCTGTCACAGTACTGCCATGCAAGACATACAAGCTTCCAGAACGAGAAGCTTTCATGAGAATAAGAGAGCCTTTTATGACCTTCAAAACTCCACCTTCAGCTGTGTACTTGCACCCCAGAGATTCCAAGGTGCCCAATGATATCAGATTGCGTTTCAAATCAGGAATATACCGAACATTGGTAAGAGTCCTGACAACGTTATCATGAGTTTTAATCTGAACACTTCCAATTCCACTAACCTTGCATTGGATATCATTACCAAGCAAGACAACTCCACCATCAACCGGTTCCAGAGAGATGAACCAATCTTTGTGGGGACACATGTGGAATGTACAACCAGAGTCCAAAATCCACTCGGTTTCACTCCGTTTCTCACCGGAGCTAACAGATAACAACACATCACCATCTGAATCACTTTCAACAACACTAGCTTCAGCGGACTTCTTTTCTCTCTCTTGCTTGTTTTTCAACTTGAAGCATTCAGTCACATCATGACCATGCTTCTTGCAGTACTTACAGGATTTGTTGGACTTATGTCCTTTGGACTTGGATCTAGAATTTTTATTGCTACTCCCTGATTCAAGTGAACGACCCCTTACAGTCAAGCCTTCACCTTTGTCCTCAGACTTAATTTCAAAGTCAAACTTTTCTTTGGACAATAAGTTCGACTTAACATTGTCGAAAGTAAGGGTATCACTACTATTACCATACAGCATAATTTCTTTGAAATGCGTGTATGATCTAGGGAGAGAGACAAGCAATAAAACAGCGCGATCCTCATCTTCAATTATAACATCAATATTTTCCAAGTCCAATAAAATAGAATTGAATTCATCCAAGTGAGATTTAATAGAAGTACCTTCCGTCATACGGATTGTGTACAGACGCTCCTTCAAACGCAACGTGTTCGCCAGAGTTTTGGCCATGTAAAGCGTATCCAGCTTGGACCATAAATCTGACGCAGTCGTCTCACTTACTACCTCACGTAGAACTTCTTTAGACAGACACAAAAGAATGGTTGAACGTGCCTTGTCATCCAGATCTTCCCAATCTACATCTGTCATTGTAGCCGGTTTCTTCTTCTTCCCAGCTAGCGCTTTCTTCAAACCGTTCTGGGTTAGAACGGCTTCCATCTGAACCTTCCAGATAGAAAAGCTAATTTTCCCGTCGAACTTCTCGATATCGAACTTGGTAACAGTTGACATCTTTGAAAATAACTCTCAATTAAACCGTTCTGATACCACTTGTTAGGAATATAGCGGAATAATGCGGAAGCAAAGAATTGAAAATTGAGAATTATAGAAGTATAATAATAGGAAAAATATATAAACGAAGAAAATTATATAAATGACAAAATAAGAAGTTGCTAAATTGGGGTAAGATATAATAAATATATATATTAATCTCAAAAGAGAATTACAAATATATATATATATATATATATAAGCTACGTGAAGAAAGAAAGGAAGGAGAATGAATTCAAAAGATTTGATACATTTTACAAAGCATAAAGCTACCCTATTTATACTAAGCAATTTAGAGATAAAAACGCAAAGATGGAGAACATGCATACATAGTGCGACAGTTGCGGCAGTACGTGCAAGAAGCAACGTGGATGATGGCTGCATGGATTCTGAGCCATAGAAATTATTTCTAACATATATTTTGCACAAACACAAAACCCACAATTCAGCGTAATATTTTACTCAACAACATCATTAATACAAGCGTGTGTAGTTATACTTTGATTGCACATGCTCATATTATATTTTGCACAAACACAGAACCCACAATTCAGCATAATATTTTACTCAACAACATCATTAATACAAGCGTATGTAGTTATACTTTGATTGCACATGCTCATATTACATTTTGCACAAACACAGAACCCCCATTACACATGTCGGAAAAAACTACGGTACTCACCACCTTTTTAAAAATAATGGATTGTCATTTGCACACACCTGCCTTTGAATTTGCACAAAACACCTTACGCTATACAGTACGTGGAAACTGAACAAAAAATGACACCATAATAACGACAGAAAAGGAACAAAAACATTCAAACACGCCTGGAAAACAATAGGTCTCTCGCCGCATTCAAACGCATAGTGATAGAAGCACACGATACTAGAATCCAATAACGCTTGAATACATGATGCACATACATGTTCACAAGAAAACAAGAATAAAAATACAACAAAAAAAAAAAAAAAAAAAAACATAAACTAAAATGCACATACCTATGTCCGGCAGTCCCATCTTTGAGCTCGTTACAACTGCTGTTCTTTCACACTGTATGGTGATGGCTTGCGTTAAGCAATAATCACAATACAAATTCTATTACATTATCGCAAATATATATTACAATCCCAAAAAAACGGATGCTAATCATGGAATATATTCCATTTTATTTGTAACCATAAATACTTATTACATTACAATTACTTATTCACCCTTATGCCTATACTGCATCCTAAAATCCATACAGATTCTAATTCAATCTCACCCTTAAATATTCATTGATCTAATGGATATGATTAG